GTGGACTCGTAATAACAAATAAGCCGTATTAGGTAATGTTATTTTTTTAAACTGAGTCTTAGGTACCTACTCTCAGTCTCATCTGTAAATCGCGATTCGATCTCGAGTCGACAAAAGCACCTAGGGGTCGTTCAAGTATTACGTAAGCACCAGGGGTGGGGGTCTCTGTTTTGCTTATTTTGGATGACATGGGGGGTAGGGGAGTCTAGATGATGATTAAGTCATCGATAGTTATTTACTTTTTTACGCAAATGGCAACCCTTAGGTATATTGAAATTATAAATTACAAGAAAAAACCGACAGAGAACTAGACATTATGGTAACTAAGAGAATATTAAAATTACAAATTAAAAAAGATATAACTTAAAATGTTTACGTAAGCAAAAGGGGAGGGGGAAAGATCTTTGCTTACTTTTGCTGACAAGGGGGATGGGGGGGTAAATAATTGTAAAAAATCTGCTTACGTAATATTTGGACGGCCCCCAACCGAAAAGTTTCAGTGTCACGAAACCCGGAATTGTAACCACTGAATAACAATAGGCTTGCCCCCTATCCCCTATTAGGTGCTTGCCTACATGACAGTCATCATGTAAGGTGGAAACACTAAATCTATGAAATGCTTCGTTCTTTAGCAAAAGACACAATGAAGCCAAAAAGCAAATAGGTTCCTAGGTTCCCCTATAAGATAAGTTAAATGATAAAGATAATCTGCGTGCATAGTAAATAGAAATTAGTAGCAATAAGTGTTATCTACAAAGTAAACCTAAGCAAGCCCTTAAGTTTACAACTTCAGATAAAAGATAGTGACACGATCCGTCAGATTTATTTAGCTGGCATTTAGTTGACTAAATTGGTCTGATCTCGATGCCAAGATAATTACTGCAGTTAAAATCTGATTATTTTGAAGATGTCTTAAGGTGTTTTGTTGAATATTTGCTATTTATAATATTAAACCCTTGATTCGTTTTAAACAGGCCGGTTTTAATTTATTCCAGCTTCTATTTATTCAATTCTTAAGAAGAGATTTTAAGAAATTTTGTCAAACTTGACATTATTTAAGTAAATTAAAGATAAAATGAAATAAGTATCTATAGCTAATCATTACGCAGTGTATAAGAGTTGTACCCTTTGCTAGTCGGTTAAATATGGAATAGACTCCAAGAACTTGGCGAGCAATGGTAAGAATTTAGTATACCTACTCTTTTTTTTAATGGGGGAAAATTATCGAATGACTGCTCCCGCCTGGGCGAGGCGGGCGGAGTGTCAGACTCTTACTGACTAACAAACACCCCGTTCCTACTCCTGTCCGTCGAGCCGGAGCCCCGGCAGCCCGTTAAGTCCTCTGCGGCTCCGTAAGACTCTAACATAATGTTCATCAAAGATTATTTTCATAACGCACATTTGTCTCGTCAAACATTGGAGAATAAAATAAAAGAAACCATTTCTACGAAAAAAATAAGTACCTCAAATATCTATACAAAAGTAAATAAATAATGTTACTTTTTTTATTTCTAATAACCTAATTGGTTACGGTCTAGCGGCTGCTAATTATTCAATGTCACGACCCAGAGACAAAAAAAGACATAACATTGGGGAATATGTGTAAAAATGTGAGATTATTTATGTCAGTAACATAATCGGCCTGGGGTGCGAACCACACGACAATAGAATTAAATGTTATGATTATTGACACATCCATTCTCTAGTACCTAAACAAACCGCGACGATTGTACGATATTCTGAAACACAATGCTGAATATTGTAGGGCTGCATAACGTAAGTAAACCGAAGAGATGTTAATTTGTATTTTCGGCAATGTGATCGAATGAACATTAATTGTGCTAAAAGTGTGTCCAAATGACACCAAAACAAAGATCCAAAAATATGCCTCCTTCACTTCTTATTGAACTCGATTCTCTATGAAACCTATTGATCCTAATCTGGAGCGAGTCTACGGTCAAACAAGGTGATCAACTTCAAACTCCACTGCTATTTGTTACTGAGAAGAAAACTTTACCCAACCTATGAAAAAGGAAAAAGACATTTCCAAACGCGATTCTCAAAACAAAAATGTACCCAAAGTGTTTGTAAACAGAATTCAGATTCCCGCATCAGTTGTGGTCATAATTTCGCCACCAAAGACGCTAATATAATATTACCTAGAATCAGTCTGGTTAGAAAGCTGGCTTTCGATTCCATATTGCCACTGTAAACGATACTTTTGTGGCTTCGGAACCAAGTTCATTTGTTCAATGAAGGCGACTAATTAAGCTGGGAACCAATACTCTACTAGCTACCCAGCTGTGGATTGTGTGGAATCATTGGAGCTGCTTTAAAGGCCAGTAAAGTACGTATGTACTTCATAGTACCTAGATATCGTACGAGCGTTATTGTTTTACTAGCAATGGTAGCTTTGCGGTTTCAGGCACGTGCCTTCATTGAGATGTTACTTGAATACTTATTGATGTCTAGATGTATGTAGGTGTAAATACATCCAAGGAATGTAGCAAATATGTTGGAGACAAAAATATATTTTAGAAATTTGTCGTAAACTTAGCTGTTTTAAACTTTAACAGCAAACTTTACATCTCCTGAACTGAATGAGATCAAGATACAATTAACTTACAACTGCACTAAAACCTATTTCAGTAAAGTGGAAAATAACCGAAATAATAAGTAGGTCCCTATGAACTAAGTAACTCGTATAAACTCAAATGTTTCCGGTAACAAAATCCATAGAATCTAACTTTACACTTTGAAGCCAAATAATTATGTTTGTACCATTTTTTGTAACAAGATTTTCATTGAAGCATTAGTAGAATAGATATAAGTAAGTCCTTATTACTTTCTGTAATTGTTTGCCTGTGCTGTGGTCGACTTGTACGGCTAGTTAGTTAAGTTCCTAAACCTGAAATTTTTATTTCGTGTATCCGTATACATGGAATAAAAATTCCAATTGGCAATAGGTTCACTCTCTGGCCCTAATTAAATATAATACCTAGCTATACATAACCCACATAGATAGAGATACCTACCTACCTAAGTAATTAGGTATTATTCTCAAAATACCAACGTGTGAAGACGAAGTAATTAAAACAAATAAATTAATCTAGACTAGACAATCCTGTTTACTATTTTTTGTACGTAGGTACCGATGTGGCAAAAACCAAATAATTATTCAAGTTATTTACCGACGCATCGAAATTAATTTGTTTTTGTTAATAATTCAGATATCTAATGAATTAATGGGGCGTTATAAAAATGATGAGTAGTTTTTGTTCACACTTGTTTTATAAATTGCTTCCTAATGTATGATAACAGGTTTTTTTTTGTTGATAATAAAGATTTTAATAGAGGAAACATAGGCAGGTAGGTACCTAGTTCATCGTTCCTATTACCTATATAGGTAGGTACCTAGGTGCTTACAGACAATGTTCATTATTTTCTTTTCCCAAAAAAGTATTCATAAGGAAATAAGGATCACGTCATTTCATACACGTTGTACCATGAGGAACCGTCAAGCGGTTATAATCTGTTACAATACCTGTTCCATACAATAACACCGAAGTTATTAAACATACAAATCACGTACACTTACAGGCTTAGAACAAATGTCAGCACAACACTACTAATATTTGTCCTCGTACGGAAATCGAACCGGTGTGTGTGACGAAGACTCACGTAGGTTACAATAACAGACAAAACTGTTATTTTAAGATCGGTAAAGGTAATCTTTTATTTGTGATTGAATGTTTTTAATATTTCTGTAATTTTAAAGGCACCAAATGCGTTTTTTGTTTTAGGTAGATGACCTGTTAGTGTAAACTCTTAACATAGAATCAAGTCATTTAGTCTTCTGAGGGTAGACAAAGGCGTACCTACCTATTTTAAACTAGACGTGAACTTGTTAAAATGTCTAAAACGTCTCAAATGCTAGGTACTTAACAGGTAGTGTTTTGTTATTATAAGTAATGATTAGTGGTTTGGTAAAATTAAGATTATGGTTACTATTGCTTAATACTGGGTAGGTCTAACCTACAGTTTCCCCGGAAATGATGCCTAATTAGGTACCTCACGCCAGGCGTCTACATCAGACCACTAGATCAATAAGGCGGTTTACCTCATAATCAGGCGTCAGACATTCGCCTTTGCATGCATTTTTCATGCTGGCGGCTAACTTAGGTGATAGGAGCATTAAGAAGGTATAACAATAAGCCAGCAATATCAACCAAAGAGTTTTATGCTTTCGGGGAGTCATTCGTCATTCTCCACACAGCGCATTTGTTCTACCGCACAACGTGTCTACGTCGCTTTATCACCACTATTCTCATAGGAATCAAACTCTGACCGGTGCGGTCAAAAAATTGGACAATAGCAAAACACTGAACGGATGATTACAATGTTAATGAGCTTGGTTTGGGTACCCAGTGAAAGATATTGAAATGAAAGCGAAACTAATAGGATGCGACCGTTGAGTCAGTCGTGGAGAAAATTTTGATAGACTAATGCCCTTGGTCGGCCTTGGTTAACTTTCAAGAACTGTCTCTCTGCACGCTTGCACAGAATTCACCTAGAAATTATGCACCTAGATACCTGGGACTAATGTTAATTTGTATCGCTCGCTAAGGACGTTACACTTGTGTGTGTTAATATGACTGTGTGACACTTTTTGAAGACATCTACGATTGTGTTTGACCAGTATCTAATCGGTACCTGTCCATCAAGTTTAGATTACAAATTAATTAAGTCAAAACGTTGCAATAAAAAAATAAGTACCTACTTCATGATTAAATAAAATATCTGCCTACATGTTATTTTTTTATAACAGTATTAGAATACTTATTTAGTTTTGTTAAGAAAAGCAAAGAAAATTCCGAACTAATAGTCTAAAGTCTGTCAACTGCACAATTTCAGTAGAAATAATATTAAAAATAATTAATATTATTTTAATACGCAGTCATGTTTTACATTCATTTTATTTAAATAAAAATAATACTCACGAATATCAGTCGCCGCCACATTTTAAATAAAATTAATATTATTATCTACTTCACTGTAACAACGATCTCTCGATTATTCAACTCTTAAATACTGCACAACACTATTATCGAGAAGTTGACGTTACAATTTCCCGCCCAATACTGCGCTGGCGACTACTTCACCGTTCATAATATTGGAAGCGAGCGGCTACCGCGCTTACAATTTATATAACATCGCCAATCCAACACTGCACAATATATAATTTAACTTCAAATCAACGTTGTTTTGTTTTATACAAGTTAGATAAGTAAGGTGGCCGCATCATAATTTGTACAATAATTCATCCATGAAATTATCTCTACAATCTGTTAAGCATCCACCTAATTACTCGTTGCATATTCTTCCTAGGCTTCAAGAATGCGTAAAAACTTGTCTGCCTTAAAAATATAAGAGTAAAAAATAAAGATGTGGCAATATTCTCAGAGATTAGTGGCTATAAGTAACAACTTACCTAAATTACCGACGATCTTCAACTACCTACCTATTTAGTTTTTTGAGGTTGTTATTGTAAAATATTTTATTTTCGTCAAATTATTTTTTTTTCCTTTTTAATTTTAAGTTTCAGTCCTATCCCTAATAATGTATAAATCAACTAGAGATCAATAACCATAATGTTGAACAACATTCTCGCACTATTAGTACCTACCTACCTACCTATTCGGCTCAAATATTTTATGGAAAGTACCTACCTATATCATTCTTGTTTTTTTTTATAGGATAAGCCGGTAAACTAGTAGACGGATCACCTGATGGTAAGCAATCGGCGTCGCCCATGGACACCTGGAACACCAGAGGCGTTACAAGTGCGTTACCAGCCTTTTGAGGATTGGGAGTTTGAGGATCGTTGGGGATTCAGGAATGGGAGGCCTCCGGTAACCTCAACCACACCCGACCTGGGAATAAAAGCCAGTAGCTCCTACTGCACTGTCATAGGTGTGTGCCTATACAAGTGTCCACCTATTACAAAATTAATTTTAGACCTAATTAGGTTTCCACTATTCTATTTTAACTTGTAGCATAACCTACTTATACATAATATAGGTACATTGTATCATTACGCTGCTCTGCCAGCGATCGCCTTTGTAGGTAGGTAATGTAATAATTTTAATTATGTATCTCGCGTCGTATATAATACCTATTGTGATGATTAGAGCTATAGAACCAACACCTACGTGACTAATTACCTGACCATGAGCTTTCAGACCACTAATGGTAACAAATAAATAAAACTTAGTAAACGTTGCACCACACTGCTAACTTTGTCTAGCATAATAAATAATAGCTCTAAAACGGTCAACTGGCCCAACGTGCCTTCACCTTCATCTCACTACAAATTTAAATAAAACAGAGTTAATTTAACATTTTTTAGTTCAAGGCAAACAGTACTAAAATGGTCAGTTATAGGTTTATTTTAAATATTAAGAAACAATTAATGGTTTACCTTACGATTCGTCACCATTACAAATAGTTCAATGGTAAGTCTTGAGCCTTGGTCATTGCCCTCCCCGCCAAAGGAGTAGGAAACCAACGCACAACATTGACGAAGATTAACTTTACGCTTTTGTTCCTTTGTGGTACGTAGACAGTTGCTTATTATTTATGATGTTAGTTTTAAATTATTAAATTATACAATACAATAGTGGCCTAACAAGACGTATAAGTTGACTGAGACCTAAATATACCTAAATATTATTATACATACACAACATGTTGAATATTATTCAGATGCATTTAGTGTAAATCTTCATCGTTGATCCTCAGTCTGCTGAGGATTATTTTTTATTAATTGCCTAAAGTGTTCTTGATTTTCTTTGTCTTACTATTCTTTACAAACCGAGCCATAACAACATTCATAAATAACATGTAAAATGCAACAGGTCTGTGTGCTCATCCATCGTATCCAAGTATATAGTCAGCCTAACCTTTTTCAGCAAAGCAGCGGAATTTTTATGACATTTATAAAGAATTGTATAATATAACCCTCAGCCTCAGGTGGCTTCAACAAAGAAAAACTAGTTTGATATTTAATTAGACGCTCCGTGACCAATTACACATAATCTATGCTATGTTATGTATTCAACTCGTGCGCATCTTCCGTTGACGTATCATATTATTAAGACGCAGTTTGAAATTGAATAATTCAAGGACTGGACCCAATCTATCGTGATGATCATACTGTGATAGTTAAGATCACCATATCCGTTAAGTACCTAAACATAAAAGACAGTCACGCAATTCGAATCGTTAGCGGCACAGCGTTTAAAATAGATTGATATTTTCACAATAGCGTTTATTGGGCAAATCATTTTTTGTTAACAAAAAACAGATGCAAGGTCAACCGCGACAGGTATTACATCCCATCCAGTTTCATCAGACATCAGACAATAACTAAAGGCTCTACTAATAATAGACCCATTATGAAATTAATGTGGAACTAAATAAAAATTAAAATACATTAATGTTTACTTTGATTTCTTTATTGGATATCGCCGGTACAATACTAGTTGACCAATTTAAAATGCAATATTTATTATTGTATCACTTCGAACAGTAATTTCGAACGCTATTTGTACACAGGACAACATACATAAATGATTGAATACTAATTTTAAAATAATACACGGCAATATTTCTACTTTTTATCTGGTGTGTAGCGGCACATTAGTAAAATATAAAAATAATAAAAAAAAAACAAAACAATCAAGTCTTTAGTTCGTGTATTGAACTCTCATCGAGTTCTCTAGTCAATTTCCTACTACAATAATACAATATTTTGCGTGCTACAAGTTATACAAAAATGTCAGTGGACACACATTACCTCTAAATACAGAAACATTTTTAATTTAAGACTTATAATTTACCTTACCCTACATTTTTAATCTCTTATGATCATATTCACAAGCGACAACTAATACTGCTAACGAAAGGACAACGTGTATCGAGACTTCTTGATTTTATTTCCACGTTAATGTAAATAAGTAAACAGACTTTGTCCAGTTACTACATCAACAAACCAAGTCAATGTTTTATTCACAGCAAAGTTAGACAATGCTGTGACGTAAAAAAAATAATTGGATCCGAAAACACACCAAAGAAAAAATAGAAATGTATGACTACAATAAAGTTAAAAACGACTTCGCAATCAGATCATTTCGTTTAAAACACATTAAAAATTAGATAAATAGTTCTCTATGCACATAGCATTTGCATACATAAAACTACTATGTAAAAACATATCACGGACCTGTAGGTTAAATGAGAAACTAAAGTTTCTAAGATACTAAGGGCGCCTATCTAATATTACGATTGATAAATATTCCGTACAAGCTATATTCGACTTACGACTATGTAGCAACATATCACATCCAGTAATCGATCCATAGCCACAGTAATCAAGGACTTACTGACAACCGACCACACCTAACTATTAGTGGGATTGAATATGTACTTGAAAATTCTACACTCATTGAGTAATTAGCTTGGAGAAATTCACGCATTCAATTACAATATTAATAGTTAATGTATAATACATACACACACGACACTTTCCTGAAGATCGCTCTAATTAATGTTTTATTTTACAAAACGTTTCAAGGTAAGTACTTAGGAATAATCACATTATCATTTATTGAAATTATTTATAAAATCATAATACATATAAGTGTATATTTTAGTATAAATTTACACAAGTATCTATGTTCCAAAGTATATACGAAAATATTAGAATAAATCGTTAAAATTTTGTGACAATTATTTATTTTCTAAATAAATTAGGTATCTATACAACAAAAGCTTGAGATATACAAGGTACAAGTTATGCGCAGAATAAATCCAATCATTGGTAGTGTGGCCTACTGATGAAAACGCCATATACTTATAAAACTGACTGGTATGTTACAGAATTATAAAATGTACCTATACATCGTGAAATTTATATTGTTTTCGTCTCGCGGCAAAACAACTTGCCTTTGGAGCACTCGATATTTAAAGTAAAAACAAAAAATAATAAGATGTCGGTTTTTTTTCAGTTTAAAAAACATCCGAGATACGCACGTGGAACACTGGATGTAACTACCTAGAAATACTTCACCAAGAATTACCTGATGTTTCGATAATGTATGTATGTTGAATGTATGTAATTTCGTTATTCATTTATTCATATAATTATAATATGATAATTTCGATATGCGCTTTCAAAGTTTTGCTTTTTACAATGGTTCAAATATTAATGTTTTTTTAACATTTAATTTCTTTGTAAAACGATGTATTACTAAGACAGAACCATTTTAATTTGGGACGAAAACGATATAAATTTCACGGTGTATAAAAAAGTTTAAATACTTAGTTACCATTTTAGAAAATAATTTCGTATCCCCCAGTATGTAAAAACACGGGGATAAATAGAAATACAGAAAAATATTTCATAATACCCAAATTCACATCAGACTGACGTGTTTGGAACAAATTTAAGTAAGTCGTGGAACTACGGATACATCGGATAAATATACTTATAGGTATACAAAGAAGAATAAATATGATAAGAACAAATCCAGCGCGGCTCATCGAGCTCCGGAGGAAGAATACGATAGTGAATATTTAAAGCCACGCTACTCGCTTAACAAGGAAGCAAGTCAATCTTTATAGAGGAACACTCGGTCACGCACATCAATCTTAACACTGAACTTGGGCACACTCGACCCTCGCATGCAGGCAGCAGTCAGCCGCGTCTACCACTGCGGGTTGGGCGGCAGGTACCCTTCCGGCGCGTACGTGGGGGCCGGCGGCGCGCCCGCGTACGGGGGCATCGCGCCGCCCGGCCCCGGGTAACCCGGGTAGTACGCGCTGCCGCCGTATCCGCCGTAGTACGCCGGTGTTGGATATGCGCCATAACCCATTCCGTAACCTGCGGATATCCGGTTATTAGTAATCTATTCTCGAACAAAGTTATGTTTGTCTGAATGAATAGAATTTACCTGGGTACTGAGGATAGGCTCCGTCTGGAGGAGGATTAGGATGACCGACAGGATAACCTTGTGCAGGTGGTCCAGCCGCTCCGAGCGGTGCATGGGATAGTGGTCCCGGTGCCGGTGACTTGGATAAGTCAGCAGGCGCTGCAGTGCC